CCTCGGATCGGAAGGGACGCGGCAGGGAAGTAATTAATCTCCAGGCCCTGGGCTGTGCGGTGCACCGCCCAGGTGTCAGTGCTGCCGCCTCCGCTATTAACGGCCGTGCGGGTGGGCCTAGCCGTTCTGGTGGCTAATGTAATGGGGGGAAGCTGCTATAATTAACTTGTAATTCCTACCCGAACTAGAACAATAATAATAAATATGGAGGCGGCTGTCTCTGATTGTTCATATGGGAAAAGTTTAGTTAAAACAACTACTTAGTTCTCCTGGCCAGTTGCTGGTAACATATTAGGAGTCCTCTGACTGCTGGTGGGTGGTTGAAACAATCTCAAGAGAAAAATGATCTATGTCCAGTGTATATATTCTTTATGTCCGGTATATTGAATGCTGCAAATTTTCGTTTTTTGAATCGCAGGCACGTAGTAGGTGTGGTCGAACAATGGTGCCCCACAGACGTCCACCTCCTAATCCCTGAAGCTAGGAATATGCTACTTTCCAGGGTGAAAAGGACTTGGCTCTGTGATTAAAGATCCTGAGATGGGAAAATCAGTCTGGGTTATCCAGATGAGCTTAGTGTAATCACAAGAGTCATTAAAGGAGGGGAGGTAGGAAATTCGAAGTCAGTAATAGGAGAGGTGGCCCTAGAAGCAAGAGGTTGTAATGTACAGCGTGGTGACTATAATTAGTACCGTGTTGTGAAGTTGAAAGTTATTGAAAGAGTAGATCTTAAGTGTTTTCATCTTAAGGAAAAAAAAATTCGTACATATGGGAGGTGGTCAACTTTGACTTGTGGTCATCACTTCGTAATACGGTACATAAATCATTTTGTTGTATACCTTAAACTTATACAATGTTAACATATGTCAGTTATACCTCAAAATCGGGAAAAGTTAATAAAAATTTTTTTAACTTAAAAAAAGCAGCAAGAGGTTGGAGTGATGTAAGAGGCAGTGAGCCAAGGAATGAGTGCAGGCACCTTTGGAAGCTGACAAAGAAAAGGGATTCTCCCTTGAAGCTTCCAGAAGAAATACAGCCCAGTCCATACTTTGATTTTAGACTTTTGACCTCCAGAATGCTAAGAGAATAAATCTGTGTTGTTTAAAACTGCGCAGTTTGTAGTAATTTGTTATACCAGCCATTAGAAGTTAGTACAGCAGATTCTCTATTGTTTGGCATGAAAGTGTCGAGAGTCGAACATCTGGTTAACTGAATCCTTGGGAGTCTCAGTGAGGAATTGAGTCTCTTCATTCTTCATCATGCATTTTATTTTTGTTGGTCATAACTATGAACAAATACAGAGAAGCATTTCTGTGTTATTTTAGTAGGCTAAAAAGAAGGATTTCACTCAATTGCTTGGAAAAAAACTGCCAGCACCATATTCCAGGGATGGTTGTCTACTTTGGTCAAAAGTTTATTATACAAAGGAATTGAATAGCTATTTCTCCAAAAATGGCCTATAAGCACATGAAAAGATGTTCAACAGCACTAATCATTAGAGAAATGCAAATTAAAACCACGAAATACCACTTCATACACATTGTGATGGCTATTAAAAAAACAGAAAATAACATGGATTGGCAAAGATGGGGAGAGATTGAAACCCTTGTACATTGCTCGTGGAATGTAAAATGGTGTTGCTGCTGTGGAAAACTATGGCAGTTCCTCAAAAAATTGAACATAGAATTACCATCTGATGCAGCAGTTTCACTTTTCTGGGTGTACACAGATTAATATCAAACAGATATTTACGCACATGTGTTCATAGCAGCATTATTCACAATAGCCAAAAGATGGAAGCAACCCAGATGTCCATCAATAGATGAATGGGTAAACAAAATGTGGTATATACATGCGATTAAATATTCAGCCATAAAAAGGAATGAAATTGTGATACATGCTACAACATGGATGAAACTTGAAAACATTGTGCTAAGCGAAAGAAGCTGGACACGAAAGGACAAATATTATATGATTCCATTTACGTGAGATACCTAAAACAGTCAAGTCATAGCAACAGAAATTAGAAATTCTCAAGGGGAGAAGGGAATGGAGAGAAGTATTGTTTAATGGGTTGAGTTTCAGTATGAGATGATAAAAATACTCTGGAGACGGATAGCAGGGATTGTTGTGTGACAATGTGAAAGAACTTAATGTCACTGAACTATACCTTCAAAAATGGTTAAAATACTACATTTTGTGTTTCTTTTACCATGATGAAAAAATAAGAGATTATTATCTCTCAAATTTTAATTTTGACTCTTTCTGGGCTATGAATTTATAAGTTTTGCCCTTTCTCTGGTTTTCTTTCCTGCAATATCACTTCCTTAGTCATCAGTATTGAATGAATGAACCAGTGAATGTGTGAACTAGATTGTAAATAAGCTCCTGCAGGGCAGAGATTTTACTTGCTTTGTCCCTCTTCATAGTTCAGAGAACGTCATCAACTCATATGTGAAAAAAAGCCTTTCCCCAAATTCACTGAATCTGAAGTCTTTTATCAGGAAAGACGTAAATAATATCCCCCCTATCCTTTTTTAAAATTGTTCCTCACTTATTTGTAAATCGCTTGAAATAATATAGACTTGACTAATTCTATAGAGAGCTGTTAAAAGACCTTTCCATTTTATCTGGCAGTTTTTTCATCTGTGCTAAACTTTCCTTGGGTTATGAGCAAATGGACCACCCAGTGGAAAACTTTTTTGTTTTTTAAATTTAAGAATCAAGTTTTGAAAGATGGTATCTTTACTGGATTAACATTTATAAACCAACTTAAAATTAAGTGTAGTTTAGTCTCATATTTTTTCAGTATCTAAAGGGTTAGTTCGAAATACCTAAATGCTATAATAAATAGAAGAAATCGAGAAAGCAAAATGACAGATTCACAGAGAAGGTGACATTTGAGATTTCCTTCACTCCCACAAAGCAGAAACAGTAGCTCTCGTCTTGTGACCCTAGAACTTGGTAATACCTTTATTGTAATATCTATTACACTGCTTTATGCCTCCTTCCCTTATCCCCTTCTTCCTCCTCCCACCCCCGTTAGGCTGTGAGCTCTTCAAGGTCAGAGGCCATATTTTATACTAGTCTCTAACAAAGCCTGATATTTTTGGACTGAATGAAAGAACGAATATAACTCATATACTACGGTCCAGAAGTTTACAATCTGTTTAAAAGCCAGATGAATGCCCTTATTGTATCGGTTTTCTAAGGACATGTCTATATAATGTTAAAAAAGAAATTACATTTCTATATAATGTAAAAAAAAGTCCTTGACATTACTTTTTAACTATTGCATTTGAAAGATAGCATAATGAAGGAGAATCCTACAATTTAGGTCCTACCATCAATTAGATATGTGATTTTGGAGTAAGTCATTGTAACTTCTCTGAACTTCAGTTTCCTCATCTGCAAAATGGGATTTTGGTATCAGACTTATCGCCTTTATAGAATTGTAGTGAGAAATACATGTTTTAAAAAGAATTTCTGAAATTTAAATTTTCCACTTAAGTATGAAATATTATTTTTATTACTTTTTTTGGTCTACTCAGTTATTCTAGGTATATGATCATAAAAGAGTAACAGATTTATTCATTGAAAAATATTTATTAATGGCCTACTCAGTGACAACTCCTGTTCTAAACTGATTAATTCTGAAATACTAACTTTTTACTTCCCAAGAGTATATTCTCTTTCCTGTGACAAATCAGACACACTGACTTGTTTTAGGTAGTGCATAAAAGCTTTATCTAATCTTAAATACATAATGTTAATCTTAAAATATTCAAAATCCTTTCCTAATTTATGGGGGAATATTTAATCAATAATTGTGCACCCCTTACTTTATATTTCACTCTTCTCATGACAAATATCATGAAACAGCATATAGATCAGTTCAAAAAGTGTTTCAGCCTACATATATTTTGGAGAAATTAGACAGCAAATAAATAGTTTATTTTCTTTCTCTTTAATCTGCTGCCCAATAATACTGGATATCAAAATCTAAGTCAGCTTAGAATATTTTTATGTTTTGTGTTTCATAACTTGAAAACGTTAGGGTAAAATAAAGCTAAATGATATGGCTATATCTCCAAACTTCCACCTGACAAACATAGTTGTGCACTGCCTCCCAGGTCCCTGTCCTTACCCAGGCTCTTTTCTCTATCTCACAGGTAGGTGGGAGTGGATTATGAAGAACTATCAATTCCAGGAACAAGAAGTGTGAACTTAAACATATTTGAGTGTCAAGTCCTCAGATGCTACTGATTTTGGTGAACAGCCTGATGATCCACCAGAAACTGATTAGTATATTCTGTCCAAGTAAGTTGTGGTAGATTGTTAAAGTAATGGAACCAAGAATTACACCTTCCAGTGTTTAAGTCCATGTGTAGGCCCCCTAACTCCTGGCTGAGCCATATGATTTGCTTTGGCCAATGGGACGTTAGCAAACATAACACAAGCAAAAGCTTAAAAAGGACTTGTCTATGGCATCCCTAAGATTGTCACGTGAAGAAGCCCAGGCTACCTCTTGGAGGCTAAGAGCACAGGGAGCAGAGACAGACCATCTCAATGGAGACCGCATAGCCCAAGCAGCCCCAGCCTGGGTTCCAGGAGATCACAGTATCACTAGGGACCCAGGCACGAAGAGAACTGCCCAATGGACCCCAGCCCAAGTTGCTCACCTACAAAATCATGGGCAAAGAAAACGGTTGTTATTTGGTGGTAGGTGGTTATACAGCGACAGATAATTGACATACCCTATTTCCCTAAATTTCAGGTGAAAACTTAGATAAATTGAAATCATGTGATCTGCCCTTGTCAATTCTTTATCTTGATACCAGCTAATTTTATTTACAGTACTTTTCTGTGTAATTCTCTTTCTCTTTGAAGATTAGTGTAAAGACTTTTCGGACTGAAATTTTCCTAATATGAATATTTTTACTTACTAACAGGGAACACTGCTCAGCATAATTTATAGGTCTATGTTCTAAAATTTTATTCAGAGATTCATCTTTCTCTTAGAAATGCTGCAGTATGCTTCTTATAAGCTTTAGTGGTCTACAATTTGTTTTTAAAGTATTATATGATTTCTTCACTTTTACTTTTTGAAGGTTTGCTACACTTATATCCATATTTTCCATAAACCACACTCTACTTGAAAGTTTACACAGAGAGAAGGGTTAATGGACCTGTTAGGGTCTTACAGTGACACAGTAGAAGAAACTATAATGATACCTAGGTCTTTTGATTCATGTTAACACCTTTATTCAGAATTTTACTAAAAGTGGTCAAAGGCAAATACTGTGGTTTTCTCTGTAATCCCATGGGTACCTCCAAGGAGAGCTAGGGGATTTAAGGAGAAAGATACTGAATAGTGAAGAGGAAGATGCATCACATATTTGGAGAGACTGGGTGTTGTCTGCCTATTTGCACGAATATTTTAAATGTCAGTTATTTTTCACTTAATTTATCCTTATGATATCCCAGTGAGTTTAGGAGGATGCTATTCCCATCTTACAAGAGAGAATAGTGGAGACAGCATAGAGCATTCAATTATAGCCTGTCAGAATGTGCTGGCCAAAAGAAATGTAAATAAGGCACCACTACTTAATTGGGTCATTAACTTAGGCCTGGTAGGACTCAACGACACTGACTTCTGGGAAGGAACACCTGGATTCTTATTTAAAACCTTACCTAGGGCCACATCTCCCTCAATACCTCCTGATCCCACCTCTCAGTATTCCTCAAACCTTGCACAGCGTAGAAACCCAGCTACCGCTTGTTAAGTAAATGTTTGAACTGTCAGTGCTGACTTAATAGCAGAACAACGGGCTATAAGGAAGTTTCCTGACCACAAGTGTTTATTTCTCCAGATCTTCATTCTTGGGAACAATACACAGGTGTGTTGGAAAGATCACAGCCTTTAGAGTTACAGATTGGGGCTCTCAGTAAAAGTTAGACAGTTTCCCCTTTACTGGTTATGTGATTTTACTGGTTGTTATAAATCACTTAGCACTTGTCAGGGGGCTGGCTTAGATACCGGCCATATCCTACCCACAAAGCAACAAAACTAAACACTTAAAAGCATGGAATACAGATATTAAGCTCATGAATTTTAATCCTGTTTCATCCTCTGTGATATAGGATGACTAAATGAAACAGAGTTTTTAGGAAGTATCATGGCATAGTGCTTAAATGCACAAGCTCTAGAACCAGACCACATGGGGTGATAACCAAATCCTAGCTCTGATATTAGTTTTGTAACACTGAGCAAATTATTTTACCTTCTGTGCCTCAGTTCCCTCTTGTGTAGATGCAGATAACATTGTAGGGGTTGTTGTGAGTATTAAATGAAGCATGGCACACAATAAGTGCTCAATTAGTTACTATTATAGTCAACTACGGTAAACCCATATTTTGGAAAATTTTAAATATATAGAAGTATATAAACCCCTCAGCCCTCATTTACAAGCCCTGGCATGTAAATGATCGGGAAATATGGATGTGATTATGTTTTATTTGAAATAATTTGGATTTGTAGGGTACACTTTGAGGAGCCCCAGTGGAATGAACGTTATTTTAGAGGCAAAAGGCTCCTTCAAAATCAGTCGCTGCTTTATTTAAAAATAAAAAAGAGAAGAAGGCAAGGAGATCAGGAAGGTAGTAACTTTTTTTGATGTCATCTACTTGTCATCACCTAGGCATGGTAAAGTCACATCTGGCACAAGGCACTCATTATCTCCTTGTCTTTGACTTACAAGGTATAAGAATAAAGTGTTCCATGAATACTAATGTTAAAAACTGTAAGCTTTTTAAAAAATGACAACTGTGAACAAATTTTTATATAGATACATAAAATAGTTCATTTCTGTGCTGTTTTGTTAGAGCTTAATATTAGGGATAATTTTTTTTTTAGAGCTCCTACTTCATGTCCCATTTGAAATCTGTGCCATTCCAGGGAAGTTTATTACGAAGACATGAATCACAGTTGGGCTGTGTGGACACTGGCATATCTTCTTTTGAATAATAACCTCTTGGAAAATACGTTGTTTTTAAAAGAATAAATGCCCACTAAATATTTTACTTTACTTCGTATGAATATTGTATTTTCTTCTTTGTTGAAATGACAGGGATTCCTTATAGAAAAACAAGGTATAGTCACACAGTATTTGAAAATATATTTTAATGCTTACTTTTCTTAACTGTGCCTCCCGGAAAGCAGGATATAACTTAACTTGGAAAACAATAGCGCTTTTAAACTGTTGAGATTCTTTGTGACTGCTGCATGGGGAGAGGTCTGGGCTTTTTGCTTTTTAATGTTTCCCATATCCGTCAAGTCTTCCTCATCTGTTTACCTCCTGTTCCCTTTCTTCCCCTTTCTGTCCTTGATTTGCACTATCTACTGTATCACTACCTTTTAAATACTCTCCTTAGTATTCCTCCATTTCCTTTAGAATTCCTTTATTTATCCGTTAAAGATACATCTGCTGCTTTATTGGTCTTAGTAGTAATTTCTAGTAATTAGCATATTGGCATCTTCTCCGTAAGCATCATCTTTATATTAACGTCGAGACCATGATGGGAGAAGAAAATATGTACTCTAGAAATTACCTGGACCACTTTCACTTGCGTAGGTAATAGCATTTGTACTGAATTGTTGGCGACAAAAATACAGGGACTTGGAGCCAAAGTGATGATGGCAGCTGTGCACACCCTCTGGCACCAGGCACTTATTTGGGCCTTTCCGTAACTAGGAATTGCAGGCTTCATTTACTGCCCACATTTGCCTGATGCCTTCCCTGAGGCGGCTGGGTGGGAAAGGGAAAGTTGTTGGGGGAACTGTGTTAAAAGTGAGGATCGGGAACGGTTGGCTATTTAATCTAAATAGCAGATGCAAACAAGGCAGAAATTTTGCGGGCTGTAAGCAGGTGAGGAAGTTACTTGTCAGTGATGAGCGTGCGGGACAAGGATTAAGGGATCCCCTGAGCTCGAGAATTACAAATGCTTCTGACACCTGCAGCAAAATTTTCCATCCACAGACGGTATCCTCGGGGAGGGGCGGGGAGGAGCTCAGGGAAGAGC